ATCTATTTAATTATGTTTATCTGCAATTAGTTATACGAATTTAAAAACATAAAACTTTAATAAGTTGTAACTTTAAATTTTAAATAATATATATCAATATATAATATTTGATGTATAAAAAATAATTTTTAAGAATTTTGTCAAAATATTTTGTAATATAGCATAGGATATTGTTGAGATGAAATGATTTAATAGGAAAAGAAAAATTGGATGCTTTTATGTCGAAGAGTAGGTGACAGGAGACACGTGTTCTGCTGAGGCAACATCAGCCTACTGACTCATAAACAGTTTTAAACACTCCAAATTACATTCCTACCCTTGCTACCCCTTATAGCCGTTATGCAGGATTTCTACACAACAATCAAGGTCAATTTCGTCATTTCCTATCACGCCTTCCTCTTCCCTGTTGTTTTCATTTGGCTGACGATTGAATTCAGTTCACACTCTCTCTCACACACACACAAAGTTGTCTGATCTCTTGCAATTCTCTCTTTAGGGTTTTCAACCTTAACTAGCAAATGGCTACTGCGTCTTCTTCGGATCCTGTAATGAAGTCGGAAGGCAGTGGCAGTGGCAGTGGCGGTGAAACTTCCGAAGCGGCGGCGGCGACGATGGTCGGGGTGGCGGCGGTAGTAGGGAGGGGAAACAATTATCAGCAGCAGTTAATGGTGAAGTACAGACTTAAGAAATCGAAGAAGGAGAGAGGTTGTACGGCCAAAGAACGGATCAGTAAAATGCCTCCTTGTGCTGCTGGCAAACGCAGCTCTATCTACCGAGGCGTCACTAGGTATACAAAGTATATCGAGAATTTCCATTTATATATGTACAATGCTCATCTTTTCAATTTATATGCGCATATTTTTTTTGAGTATAATTGTGTAAAAAAGCAGTTAATTTAGGATAGTTTTAGACATACTTGCCACTAGATGACTAAAACATGAGGGGTTTCTTCGGTGGTCCTCTTTAGAATTTTTTTTGATGCTGGGCTTGTGCATAAGATATGGTCTATGTATAGATATATGACTTATGATTAAATAATAACTGGTTGTAGACAGGTCACTAAAACATGGGTATTTGTAGGAAGCTTTCAAAGATTTAAAAACAGCTCTTTGCTTTTTCTTTTGAAATTATGGTGGCGTTTGTTTTTTTGAGGTGCTGAAGTCTGAAGTCTGAATTCACTTCTGATTTTAATATGTAACTATCCTTTATACCCCGTCTTCATCCAGTATAAAACTAGCTCGTGCGGCCGTACTCTTACAAGACGCTAGGACAGTGAGTGTTTTATCCCAAACCAATTTGGGGTATTTGTGGGTAAGCTAAAAAAAATAAAATGAAACCAAATTAGAAGATAGTGAAACCGAAACCCCCATAAGGTTTGGGAACATAATAGAATCCTTGGATGCTATCTAAGGCCATCTCCTTGAGCATACATCATTAATGCAAATCTCTTTTCACTGCTTCCCTCTAAATGACTTCTATGTATCTAAAAAACCTCTTCTTGGCACAAGTGTTCTCTGTGAACTGGTGCATTTGAAGGTCTACGTTGGTGATGACCAAACCACCTCAAATAATATTGCCTCTGCTTCTCCTCAAGCGGCAGCATTCCATCCATCTCTTGTATATCCTTATTCTTAATCTAATGCTTGCCAAAATAAAGGGGAAAATTGTAGTGGATGGAGCGAAAACGATGTATACTACTTGTAGGATAAGTGAGGGTACATACCATCCTAGATTATGCTGCCTTCTAGCATGTATACATCTCACAATCTAGGATGTATTTAGGAAGAAACAGTTGTGGGCTTACGATGTTATCTGGTGGCATCATCATTTTAATAAAATAATAAACTCACAGAAACAAGATGTGAAATTCCTTACACATATACACACAAAAATTACCAACTTGTTTGATTCTGGTATCAAACTTGTATCATGCATGATGTTCTAAAAGGATGAACACGATTAGTAGTATCTTTGATGATGTTTCACCGGTGTAAACCCTTCATTTCAACAAGTTTATATTATATTTATTAAAGTTTTTGAAACTGCAAGTCCCAAACTTATCAATAACCAATTCAAATTGTTCAAAGTTCAAATAAAATAAAAGCATAACCCTAAATGTTTCAATCTTGACCTGTATGGATTTGAATAAAAAATGAATGAGCTCCCAATTTAGAAGTAAGACAAATCAACCAAAGACAATAGGAATTGCCTATTGAAGTCCTGCAATTATCTCAATGAAGAGATGGGTGAAAGGAGGATCAAGTGGCTTTCCCCATGAGAGAGAGAGAGAGAGATCAGACAGTCGTATTATGTTGACCTATACTTAGGCGCTTACACCACATCAGTAGCTGAGAGAGAGAGAGAGAGAAGGCATTACACCTAATGAACCCTGGTCCAGTTACGGTGCTTAGCATTTAGAAAGTTATCAAGGGTAAGGATGAATGCAGATTGTTGGACTTGAATCTCAACCAGACGGTTTAAAGCACTATGCTATACCAACTCAGCTTGGTCACCTTCTGATGCGATTATGCCCGACTGTGTATTGATTGCCGGAGATAGTAATGGTGAAAACTGCGACCGGTTGTCTATAAAGAGACAAGAACCTTGGTATAGAGATACACCACAATCAACCCACCAAGTTGATTGATAAGTATTGAACGCCACAAGCTTAAGACTTGATAAGTTCTAAAGTTCACAAAGAACATAAAGAGTTTGAAACTCACAATATCATTCAAAATCAAAGGTACCTTCCAGAGGTTACATTCAAAATCATTTATACACAAGAAAATAAGCACAACTACTTATCTAAATAAGAAACTTAACTTATCATGATAAGCAAAACTACTTATCTCCCTTGTAACTCCTTCAAAGCTTTCATTAGAACAACCTGATGTTAGCAACCTTCAAAATGACTCCAAATTCAATGAGATGAGTTATTTAAACTTGGACATAATAATGGGCAGATCCTTGTACGTCCCTTCTACCTTCTTTTTGGGCTTGGATTCTTCTAAAAATGTAGGAAAAAGATTGCTCTTCAAGTGGGCTTTGATTCGAGTCCATTTGGACTTGAAATGAGTGATTTATGGCTAAAACATGGGCCATATGTGGACTTGGCCGAATTTCTTGGACATTGAAAGATTTATGGTTGCAATAATCACAACTTGGGATACTAAGAATGAGGCTAATCTTGGCCTTCTATTTGGATCAAAATTTAAAGATTTCCTTGGCTACTTGATGAAGTGATGAGAGATTGTTTCCGACAAGATTTTATCAAACCATTGAGAGCATCATTAAACGTCTTGGAGTTGGACCTTGTGATTGGTCTAATCTTCCATCTCAATGGATCGTCATCATTCGGGTCATTGGATGGCCTCTCATCACCTTCTCTATGGTACATGCATATAATTTATTCATATACAGCTTCTCCTGGGGGACGAAGACAAGAAGTACCAGTAACTTGTAATCTTAACTGGCTACTTTTTTTATATATATAGAAATATTTGGGAGTTGGTTTTAGTTATTGATCATAACATATTTTGTATTTAGCACCATTCAAGATATAAGCACCTAGGCCGTTGCTTCTCACTTGATTACAACTTTGGTGTTGTGCAAATGCTGCTAGAAGTAATGATTGTTCATAATCACTTCTTAACTTCTACTACAACCATAGCCTACTGTTTTTTCTGTCAGGATTACACTATATTTTACATCCTCTTTTTCAGAGTTTTGATAATGTGTTTGTTGAATACTTAAATGGTACTAGGCATAGATGGACCGGCCGTTACGAAGCACATCTATGGGATAAAAGTACCTGGAATCAGAATCAGAATAAGAAGGGCAAGCAAGGTCTAATTCTTTCCCTGTTCGTGCGTGCATGTGTGTTTGTATGTGTGTGTGTGTCGGTCAATATATATACAAGACACATGAAATTCATTTCTTTGCTCCTTGCCAGATGCATGGATTAAGTGTCATAATTTCTAATATGGTTTTGGTTTAATTTTATATGGATTCTGGACATGGTTTTTGGCATCTATTTCAACAGTTTACTTAGGTAAGGATTTTAATTACATATTTCCTGAAACCTGATTCGATTAGTAGAAGAATGTCGACATTCGCTTTTTATTTCTTATGGGCAAACGAAACATGTCTTTAGGTGCATATGATGATGAGGAAGCTGCTGCCAGAGCATATGATCTTGCTGCTTTGAAATATTGGGGCCCTGGGACACTCATTAATTTTCCGGTGAGAAATTGTTGTGACATTTCACCTGTGGTTTTATGAGTTATTGTATTCTTCCTCTTTAGATCGTTCTTAATTATAAATTTTATTAAGAAGTGTATCTAAGCTATTGAGTTTGTTCAATTGCCATGAGAAAAAGCGGAAGGAGTGCCAGAGCTCTATACCAACTTCTTAGGTGCTATATTGATCGATTTATGATATAGCTTTACAAGTATGATGAAGTTCCCTACAGTATCACAAGCAAATAGTTTTTATTCCATTTGTTATCTCCTATTCTGTGCCTCTTCTATCTGTAAAGTAGTGGTGAATGCTGTTTCATTTTATTAAAATTGTGTCATATTTGTGGTTGTTTCTCATAACCTCCCTGCATTAAAAGTACATATTTTTGGTGCCAGGTCACAGACTATACACGAGACCTTGAAGAGATGCAAAATCTATCAAGAGAGGATTACCTTGCATCGCTCAGAAGGTATGCAATGCAATTAATACATGCATGTGTACGACTCTATCAGCCTGCTTGCTTTTTCTTATTTTGTACATGATCATTGCAGAAAAGGTAGTGGTTTCTCAAGGGGAACCTCTAAATGTCGTGGAATTTCCAGGTATGCTTATAATGATGGAATTTTTTGGTCAATCAGGTTTGCTTGCTTCAAAAGGGAGCCATGTGTGATTAAGCACACTATTGTTAGTACTTATTCATTTCCTACTGTTCCAGCTAGAATGCCATCATATATGCAAATGACTCTGGTCTGGACCAGTAACAAAAGCTACAGGTGATATCCATGGGGGGAGAGTTGGCAATGATAATATGGGTACTTGTAGGAATGGAAAAAAGCTACCATGATTGCAGAATAGTCCAAAGCAATAAATTGGTATTTCGTTAAGGGTTGTTGACAGAGTTTCTTCTTAAATTAGAATATTCTGAACTTCCTTACTGTTGGACAAAATAAATCAGAGTCATCTAGTACCTGCTAAATATGATTACAAGCCTTGTAAATCAACTAATCAAAGAGATCAGAAAATAGAAAAATTCCCATTTAAAATAATGAATTTACCTGTTAGACTGTGGTATCAGACTGTCATCTAACTATCTATAGATGGATAAAACTAATAACAAGGGTTGTTTAAAATAGTGTTTATGAAGATAATAAGCTAGCATTATTCAGTCAAATTCATATCAACATGATTATCTTGTGAACCCAAAGATGGATTTAAATAATAAGTTGGTTAGGATCCTTTCAATCTCGATAAATCAAGATGTGTTGATGTCTTTCCCCCTTCAGTTTCTGCACTTTCAAACATACTTGAATTGATCCATAAAATGTAGACATATTTGCAAACCTTTTCTTCTTGATCCACATTGTTATTTGTATAGAAAACATAAGCATGATAGACTAGGATCAGAAAAAGAAAGAAGGCAAGTGCCACAATGCTAAAAGACAAAAAAAACGAAAAGCTCAAAATGCTTTTTACGAGGTATCTATCACTCAAGGGGCGCGATGGATTCAAATGATCAACCACCCTATTTTGCCTCCACCTGAGACATGCCCAACATACCACATTAGCATGGTCTGTTTTTGTTAATAATATCCCGTGTGTGTCAAAATGTTCGTGTATGCACGTGTAAGGAAAATATTATTAGAGATGTCCCACACAAACAATAGTGCATAAGAAGGTGGCCTTGAGCACACAAGCCCCTTGTAGGTCCACCAAATGGGTCGACATGCTATGAGTGGAAGACAGCTTTCTTGAGCACTATTTATGATGCAGGATAGCTCAAATGCTACCATTCCATATTCAATTTTTAATATGCTTTGATTTTTGTTTTCCGCTATAATTCAGTACTAGATGGGATTCACCCTTGGGTCGTATTGCTGGATCTGATTATCACAACTGCATGCATCATGGTAAGCAAGTGCTTAGAGCCAAATAGATTTCAAGTAATTCAAGCACATGTTCTTCCTGAAATCATAGTGATACAAAGCTCACATAATTAAATCTTCCTTTACATCCATTAGCCTCTGGGATTCATGCATAAACCATTCTGAAGTAGTAGTTATTTTGCAGGTGATGATGCAACAACAGAGAGCGAATATGTTGGTGGAGTTTGTATGGATAGGAAAATTGATCTTACACCCTTCATTAAGTGGTGGGGACCCAACAAATCCCGTCAATCTGAATCTCATGGAAAGTCTTCAGAGGAAACAGATCATGGTAGTTCTGAGGACGTTGAAAGTGCATCAGAGTGGGTAACCCAACCCACCGAGCCCTATCAGCTGCCTCGTTTGGGTGGAAAACAACATAAAAGGTCTTCAGTATCAGCCATGAGTATATTGTCAAGATCTCCAGCCTTCAAGCGCTTACAAGAGAAAGCTTTGAAAAAGGAAGAAAAAGATGTTGAGAATGATGAGAATGAAAACAAAAATAGCATCAACAAAATGGATTATGGTAAGGCAGTTGAAAAAGCAGGTCATGATGCCGCAAGTGAAGGATTTGGAGTTGCATTGGGGATGGAAGCCGGAGAGTTGCCTCTTCAGAGAAATACATACCCGTTGGCTCCTTTCTTGTCTGCACCACTTTTGACCAACTACAATACTATTGATCCACTGACAGACCCTATTCTTTGGTCATCCCTTGTCCCTGCTCTCCGCCCCAGATCTTCTCAGCCCATGGAGGTCAGAACTAATACTTATGTCTGTTTAGTTATATACCACATGCTTCCGGTTCTCTACTTGATTTGGCCATTGTAAGAAACACATGACAAAGACCGCTAGGAAGAATCACTTCGTATTGAAATTGTTAGGTTTGTTAGCATGATATCGTACAAGAGACAAAAATGGATGGTGAAAAGCCCTGAAATTCTGATTAGGTTATATGTTGCAAGGAAATGGTTGTGAGATAGGTGGAGATTGGGCTCTGGCATTTATATGTGTGCATGCGTAGGAAATGGGTGTGGGATCGGTGGAGATTGGGATTTGGCAAATTCGAAGACTCGCTTTAAAACTTTAGACATTTGATACTTACGTAAAAAACGATTTCCCAATGCTGGCCATGAAGATTACTAGCTGCCAAGATTAACCTTGATCTATGCTTTATGCTTTTGTTCGTAAAAAATGTAAACGCTTTGCTTTGTACTTTTTATTTTTTCTAACATGCAATGGCAATCGTTATGTATCGAACAGGCTACAAAGACAGAGACCAGTTCAGATTATACTTTCTTCCAACAGGAGGACTTGCTCCCTACATGATCCAAGTGCATTGTTTGTCCAAATTCTCTTGGGAAAACTGCAACACATGTGCTATGCGAACGAGATCTACAACAATCTCACTGCCTCGGAACAAGAAAATGTTGCCTTGCGTGCTTGGTACGTGATGAGATTAGTTTTGTTATATATATATATATATAAGTAGATGTTTAATAGCAAATATGTTACGATAGAAGTTGTACTTGTAAAGGGCACACACCGATATGATGTAAAGTGAAGATAAGATTTTGAAAGATTTCAGAAGCTGTTGTAAAGACGTTTTAAATCTTGGTACACGAACAAGGGGCATCCCGGTATACTGTATTAGACGTATACCGTCTTTTTCTTACCTTTAAGGTACCGCAAAAAGGTTACGTATATTCATCATGTCATGATGGTGTTTTTCGTCATGTGTTTTATCGTATCTTTTGTTCAAGTCTCGATGTCAAAACGGTTGACATGAAACTTTTATATCTGAAATATGAAAATCGAATTCAACTACAAACAGAAAGGTAACTTGTCGATTACAAAATTTAACCAAGTTATGTAGTTGTTGCTACTCCATTGGTATTGAAGTCGTAACTTGTCAAAACGAAGCAAGAAACGCTAGCATTGCCGACTGTTTATTTATTTGAAACCGGTTACAAGTCGACCCGACTAGTTGAAGAATTTTTTAAAGCGGTTTGGCTATAAAACGAGGGACCAGTATGATAACACAGAGGAGGTCACCATTATGCAACCATTTACATTTGTACAACTAATACAACTCAATCTCAACCGATCATTTAACTTGATAAATTATTTCATAAAAATTTTGATTGTTTCCTAATATAAAGTATTGATCATAATTAATGAACTCTAATCATCTTCCATAAATATTCAAATCATAATAAATGAACTCTCATCATTTCTATAAATATTTCAATTGGTTAGGTTACATTGGTTGTACAAATGTAATAGATTGTATTTGAAACATTCTCTATATATAGAGAAACGATCATTTGGAAACCACCTTTATACTGCATACAGAATGCAACCAATCATGTTTTTTTCATTTAATTTGTTTTGATTTTAATTAGGAGGGCTTAATTGTCATTTTAGGTTAAATATTTGTTTTTGGATATAACCAACCCCAAATTTACAACACCCCCGTGTTGGGCACTTCACCTCACAATCAACCCTTCTTCAATATCTCCCATAAATCCCAACTCCGATGTTTCCTTGATTTTCCGAACCATTTTTTTTATTAACCTGGATATCTAACCCGCTATGCGAGCTGACTAATCCCAAGATAATTTTTGCAGATAGCCAGAAGTCACCGCATTTGAACCTCCGTGGCCACAAGGAAATTTTTATTCCTCCTTCGATTTGAACCTGAGACCTCCTGGTACTTTTAACCTTTAGAGCCAAGTTCAAACCAATCAGACACGATTTATCACCCAGAGAAACTATTGTTTACTTTTTCATCACATATTCACCATAAAGCGATGTCGGAACTACTGTTATGAAGAAATGACCGTTTTGTTTTTCATCATGTCTTCTTCCTCATCGTAAAGCGATGCCAGAACTATAGGTCCAACTGGCCAAAATACACGGCCAACACCCTTCAGCGACATGATCACAAGCATCCACTTCATCGCAGATTTCATCAGTAGCTTGTACAAATTTCATCGCATGTAAAACCAATATTTCATCGCATGTAAAACCAAGATTTCATCACAGATTTCGTCACAATTTTATGACCACCCTTTCTTCAAAACCAGTTTCGCCACAAATGGTTATTCAACAATATTGGATTACGCTATAGAAAATCACGGGATTTGAGAAAATCACAAATTTCAGTAATTTAACAATTTTATCTTTTAATTTTTATTACCAAAAATAACTCATTTACATCTTGACCGTTGATTGATGAAAGGTATCATGGTTACAATCATTCATGTATCCATTGTACTTGGGAGTGGCAATAGGTTAAGTTATGTTGGATTTGGGTTCAACCTATTTATTAAACAGGTTGAAAATCTCAATCCAACTCAACCTGTTTAATTAAATGGGTTGAGACTTTTCAACCAATATAGCCTGATACCTGAATGGATTGATAACGGGTTGACCTGTTTATGTTTTCTTTTCAACCCAACCTGTTAAATAAATGGGTTGAACCATTTAATTTTAAAGTTTCATGGTTCTCTGATGGAGGTGGAGTCTCTAGATCATCTTCCGAAATTTCAACCGTATTAATCACGGAAAAGGAATGAAAAACAAAAACTTTATAACTTAAAAAATGTGAAATTTAAAACAAAAAATCAGATACAACATGAACTTAAAAAACACTTCAAAGCAGGAACGCAGTGACAGTGACACACGAGGAACTTAAAAAATGTGAACTTTCCAAATACTATATTTCAACCCTTTATAGCTTTAGGACAGTATATGGATAATCCAAGAATTCACTCTCATATTTAAGGCAGAAAACTCGAATGTATCATACCCTAGATAAAGCATTTTATACATTTATATGAGATATTGACAGTTATGGGGTAGTTAGGCAGTTAGTGTATAATTGCACAACTGTTGCAACCGCTTGTGGATAAGGTTGAAATGGATAAGAGTCAAACTCAGAAGCTCCAAGTCAGAACCTTTCCAATCAGAAGCTTCTGATGCGAACAAAACGGCTTTTGATTCCATACTTACTCTCCAAACATTAAGGGGCCATTTACCAAACAGCTACCCGGTAAGTGCTTATCAAGTTACATTACCTTACCAATGAATATGGCAAGAACCAAGAATCTTACCCGGTAAGAGCGAAGATAAGAACCTAGAGTCTTACCCGGTAAGTAACGACGACGACTCTTACCAGGGTTAGCACTTACCGGGTAAATTGTTACATACGGTACCTTTTTAGTAGCCTAAAATCTTACCTGTAAGTGAGTGATAGTATTGAATTTTGCCAATAAGCACTTGCTCAGATAAGAGTTTGGTAAACGTCCCCTAAGTTTCTGGCCAATTCAGAAGGATTCTGACCTTCTGAATATCACTTAGAATATTCAGAAACTCATATTTTCTAAGCAATCCTCTTCATAACCCTGACACTGCACCCCTTACCCCCGTTTTGGGTTCTTGGCTTCTAAATCGAGATGTTTCACGCGGCATTACGTGCAGGTACATTACTAGTTCAGTTTGATGGTTACCCAACTAGGAAATAGATTGTGCCGTTTAACATTATTGCTAAGTCCCTTTCTTGGACTCGATCTCACTTGCAATCCTACAATTCTTAAAAAGTACTTACGATATCTGTCCCCTACTCTATCAATTGAACTTTTACTCACTCGCCTAAAAATGGACTGTTACAAAATCCCGTTTTGAAACATATGCAATAGGTAACCATGCTTCACGTCAACACTCAGATATACGTGCATACATCATTCCTTATCGAACTCCATCAGATAAGAATCGAAAGAGTCTTGGTCACATCTACAACCTCAGACATACGTGCATACATCATTACTTAAGGAACTAATTGAGGAATCAATCAGGAAAAAAAATCAAGTAACTGCTATCCCTAGGTGGTGCCACCACCACCACCACCACCAACCATGAACAATGTTTTGCTCTTAGGTCTTGTTAGTTTGCAGGATGGGATTTGGAGGGATTTGGAATTGAATTTCATTCCAATTCCATGTTTGGTTTGAAAGAATTCTTGGATTTCATTGAAAAACACAAACATAGGATTTTGAAACCCCTCGGGAGTGCTTGGTATTTCAAGGGATTTCGTAGGAGTGTATATAATAATGTTTTAAAAAATGTTAAAAACATTTGTTTTGTAATAATAAATTAACAAAAATGTTATTTAATAATTTTTATAATTATTTATAATATTTTTTAAATTATTTATAAAGAATGGAATCTAATTCCATTCCAAATCCTATAAACCTAACACACCTCCGATTCCAAATCCCTTGACCAAATCCAAATCCCTCAAAATCATTCCATCAAATCAAACATCCCCTTAGTGTTCATTGCATATAAATCATCAAGGATACAAAAAAAAAGCAGAAATAAAAATGCAGCACGCACCTTTGAAGGAAGGCTTAGGTGATAGGAAGGCACAGAAGTCTTCCTGCTACACCATCTCCCGTTGTGGTTGACGAAGATTCTTCATTCTTCGTAACTGTTGCTGGGATATGAACCATTCGAGGCATTGATCGGCCTGGCAATTGAAACCATGAAGCAGGAATCAGCAGATCTGTAGACAAATGTGTTTCTATACCTCATTCAATTACTTCCCATGCTCCTCCGAATAATGTGTGTTTTTTAATTTCATATCTCATAACGAGAGTGATCAAATTACAAATTCCCTTGAAATACGAAAGAAATAATCCTATCAATATTATCCAAATATTCAAAACATACAAATTTACAAGACTTTTTATGCTGCAGCCAACCAATGTAGGTCTCAGACACATTACAGCAGTGTCTTGGGCTTCCGTTTTTCTCTGCACACACCCTCAGTCTGTCTAGCATCCTAGACGCTATTAATCATGTCAAAGAGGATGCACCCTACTGTCATTGCTCCCACCTTCATGATTTTACAATGGGTAAAGAACGCTATTATACAGGTTCAAAACTTTCACCTTCCATCATCAAAATGATCACGGTTATGGTTTAACTAAGCTGATTTCGGCAACTCCTGCTGAATCTCAAGGACCCACAAGCTTGCAACTGCCACTGTTCTCTACAAGAAGAAAGCATCACCCTACCTGATCTCATCTGTTGCGACTTATATTCATGTTTTTCTTCTCAAGAACTCTGTAAGGACAATAAGCAGGATAACACCGAGTTAATAACAAATCTGAAAAGGAGCAACGATGCCAACAAGAAAAAGGAGGAATAAGAAGACGAAAATTTGAACACTCATGTGTCGACTCCACCGAGTACAATGCCCACCAGATTTGAGTCGGATTATCGCATAAATAGTCTTTTAGAAAAGAATGGATAAAGTCGTGAAGAAAGGCTCGCCCCAGCAAAGAAAAGAACAGCAAAAAGTTGTAAAACATAGTCTTGTATTGGGGTTGCTCTTCATGGTTCAAATCAGAAGACTGACATTGATGCACAAGCACACACACAGCATTTTGACAAATTACCAACATACTGCAGTGTCAAAATTATTGCATGAAAGTAACACTTGTATGGCAAGCTGAAACTGTGTACCAAAAGTGCAGATGTATAATAGCCATGTTTACTAGGACTGTAAACGAACTGAACGAACACGAACAAAGCCTTGTTCATGTTCGTTTAACTCAACCGAACAAACATGAATAGTAAACGAACAAAAATTTTGGTGTTCGTGTTTGTTCATATTTGTTGATGTTCGTTCGTGTTCGTTCATTAAAATGCTAAACGAACATACACTAAATTCTTAAACGAACGCAAGGTGCACCCCATGAATCAAAACCTTCACATAGGCTCAAGCCACTAAGCTCAATTGTACAGTAAGGCATTGAATTGGATGAGGATTATATGGTAGAGTATAAAGCCAATGGATAGTAAATCTCACCGATGTGGGATGGGATGGAATTCACTTCTCACTTCCATCTCAAAGGAGGAAAGAGTTAAAGACGGACGAGGATGGGGCTCATCCCACATCGAAATTTTTGACGAAACTGAGGCATACAAGCATCCATACAAGGGAAACAGTGGGAATGGAACAACCATTAGTTTTTATTATTACTTTTCGATAAACGTCATCTCTTTATTATACTATTATTAATTTGCAGTTATAATTATAATAATTATTATTATTCAATTGTGAACTTCTAAAAATTTAATTGTTAATTTATTATCATCAGTAAATGAATGAACGTTCACGAACATAAATGAATGAACGAGACCTTTGTTCATGTTCGTTCGTAACGAACATAAATGAACTTCCCGCCGAACGGTTCGTGAACATTCGGTTCATTTACAGCCCTAATGTTTACTAGAAATTCAAGTTGCTGGAATTTTTACTTAAACATGTGAATTTCTGAAGGGTATTCTAAACTGAAAGCTTGAAGTTCTTTCATCATAATAAATAGAGAAAGAAGCATACCAACTCTATCTTGTATGATAACAGAATATTCACGCCCACTACTCTGTGCAAAGGCAAGTATGCTTTGATACATTTCAACGGAAGGTTGAACTCCAGAATCCTCCATCCATTGCATTACCTGTTAAGAGTGAGGAGAATGATAAATTGACCTTTTACGAAAGTGTTACTACAACATTTGGCAGTTCACATGCAATGAATTTTACATCTGCAATTTCCCTTCTCTACTTCTTTGATAGATGCAGAAAACACAGAAAAAAAGAATCTCAATAATCTTCCCCAAGGACTAACAGTACTTGATTTTTCTATTTAACATTGGTAAAGAAACCATCCAGTTGACTTGCTTAAGTGGTTGGAGCTTGTGCAAATTATGTAGGTCCTCTGAATCCCACCCTAATATTGTCCGGTGAATTACCGAAAGTGTGACAATGAGCAAACAGCAAAAATTCCAACCCCCTATGTGATATCTCCCCAGTTTACAAGGAAAAAAATCATAACTTGACCACACCCATTAATAAGAATAGGATACGGAGTAACAAGTTATTTTGCAAAATTTGAGCTCATTTTACGGTGTGATTTGGACATATCAGCAATGAAACTACTATTCATAGTTCATTACATTAACTATATTCAAGGGCTGTTTGGTTGGTTTTCCATTAAGTCCTGTATGGATAAAGTTGTCTGTGTAGATTACTGTCTATATAGATTGAGAAGGTTTTTGTTTGGGAGGGTTTTTTCATAGATGGAAGGAACGTGTTCACTAACTGGAAGGGGCAGGTGTGGAAAAAACGTGTCTTTCTGCATAAAGCTCCCCCTAAAATCTTACTGAATAAGCCACTTTCTATATCATTAAGCCAAACAGTCATGTATAGCTGACTGAATAAGTTGCGAGTCCCATTAAGCTCATTAAGTTGCTAACAAACATGCCCTCGTTCTTATTTTGTTAATATTTTATCCACATCTTTGAGCGCTGGGCATTAACTGTGTGTAAAGGATGTGAATGAGTAAAATCTTAATTTTGTTTTCATGTGGAATACATATTGTTTTACATTGAATTAGGCTTTTTTGTAAACAGGGATGCTAAATTAAACTCAGGATGTTATGGTAATGAGGTCAAAAGTAACAAAATTTGGGACATGGTATGTGGTGAATGAGTAGCTGTACTCACGAAGGATAGTTTTCTTGGCTTTGAAGATAGTTTGGAATTCAATAGGCGTTGAATCAAATGAAGAACAAACAACAAGGTTGGATTATTGTTGTGAGATAGTTAAATCAAGAACACCAATGGGATTGATGTTGATATCATGTCAGTTGAGAAAGGTTTTAAAAGGCGGAATCGAGCCTCGAGGCGTTTTCCCTCAACGAGGCGCCTCGAGGCGTAAGCCCTGAGGCTGAAATATATATACACCAAACTATGTATATATACACATTTATATACACTATATAATACTAAATTACCAAGGGTGCAGGTTCAGTGGTTCTTGATAGAGAAAAGAGTGAAACTGTGAGATAGGCTGAGAGGGTGCGGAAAAATTGGTTGACACAAGGAAGAAGGGTCAAACCACACTTTTTGATTGCAAGGAGAAAGCTAGCTTTTTGCGTTTTAAAATATTAAAAGTACACATTAGGACCATCGGGCTTTAACTTTTAATTTTTTAAAACAAAAAACACTTTTAGTATGAAAAGTACTACTACTACTCCCATAAAGCTTATAAAAAAGCCAAAAAAAATCATTACCAACGCAGGTCATCTGAGGTGTACAACTCGACAACGCCTCACCGAACTGCCTGACTGAACCAAGGTGTAAGCCTCGTCCAGGGTCCAAGAGGTGCCACCTCAGGTGCGGTTTTGGGCCGCCTCAAGGAGTACACCTAAAACGATTTTTAGAACCATGCAATTAGTGTTGATGTTCAAGTTTCAACTACTTCAATGAATTGAGGATCAAGCAGATACATGTGAAAGTCTCAGCTGAGCTAGGGGTTGGATCAAGTCTTGATTGATTAATTGAACCCATTACTAATGTTACTTGCTGCTGAGATCACATAAGGTACCAGAAATTATTACACAGGGACAATTTGTGTCCTAGGGAGCTAAGGAAAGAAATGAGCTTCCACAACTTGGTGTCTTGGATCAGAGGAATATGATTGAAGAGCCCACATTCTGAAAAACGACCACATTTAGGGGAGGGAAGATATGAGCTGTTGGTGCACGAGAGAAGAACGAGTTGGGGAAGCCCGAATCTACGGACAAAAACCATGGAAGAGAAATTCAAGAGATGACATAGCGCTATATGCGATTGAGGTGACAGAAACAACGAGATCAACAGCAATCTGTTCACCAGAAGCAGCAGCATGAAGATTATGACAGCAACTCTATGAGGTCTAAAATGCCCCCTTCTGTGATCAGTACCCTTGTCGTAGTAGCAATAAAATAGAACAGGAGAACCCATGTTTTTCAATCACCCGAAGCAGCACCGAACCAAAAGAGCACCCACCTGGCCACCTCGATTAGCCACAAAATAGCAGCAGTAAGCTGCTGTCAGTAGCATAGATCCAATAGCAATCAGCCCCATTTTCGGTGACCAAATCAGCAGCATTTGAGACCAAGCAGCGCCGTAATTCACAGTACCCTTGTTTGTCTAAATTATAAACCACCATCAGCAGGGTAGCCTCATCGCTGCAGTCAACAGCAGTTTCGACCATCAGCATCCTTTTATTGAAGCAGAATGTAGCAGCAGAGTAGCATCATTTCAGACGCAGAAAGATTGTCATCAAACAGCAGCCATGTTGAACAACATCAGAAGGTGATTCACCGCCATCAAGAGCAATGCAGCAGCCCTTTTATTTTGGATCAAATAGCATCAACTGCTGCTGGAAAGGAAACAGAAAGAAAGGCAGTCGAGCAGCAGAAACATAAGAAAAGGGGGGCAAGAAAAATATAGTTGTTTTAAAACAGGGGCAGACCTACCTTTTTTGCATAAGATTTTTGTTTCATTTTGGTATGGCTGAAAAGGTGTGCAGCTGTTGAGTAACGAGGGATTTTATATACACATAGGCAGAAAGAGGAGAGGTTTGAGAAAAGTGTTGAAGGGTGTATAATTCGAATGGAAACAATCTATAATCTTGGGGACGTGAGAATCACTATCCTCACGAAATTATTAGCCCCCACTTTGTCACCAATGGTTTCAGGACTAAATTCTTCCGGCAAATTATGCAGTGAACATAGCCCTTCATGAACATCATGAATCTTTAAACTTTTAAGAGTGTATAATATTGGAAAAACATACCCCTTGCAATCTGATGTTAATACTGAAATTCCCGCGAAGCTGGCCACCAAAACCGTTTCTGTATATTGTCACATGTCTATATAAGCAACATGATCGTGAATGCCAGTTTTGGAAATGGAAAGTTTAGTGAAGTACCAACACACGGCCTTTATAGGCAACATGATCGTGTTTGCCAATTTCACTATACAAAAACTTTTGCTATGCTAACATGTATTAATATTTTTATAACCTTCCTACACTTCTCACATAATTTTGACTTCCCACGAGATCCTAATTATATATATAGACTCGGGATCGGGTAGGAACCTTTCTTTTCCTAAGAACCGTAAGACTCCCTACATCGCCCTTGGATGAGATCACGGGACTTATCCGACGGTTTGAATGGGCGCAGTGGGACAACTATATAAATCTTTTCAAATTTCCCTCCAAAGCATTCAAATAATCAAGAGCTTTTGTACATATATACTAAATTAAGTTTCACCTTCCCACCTATGTGGGACAACTATGTGAGGTAACTCTCAGTACAAACATTGTTAATGAGGTCCCCTTTCAACAAGAAGAGGCACCCAAGCCCCAGGCCCACAATCATGCAGACACTAGGGGAGATTGATATAGGAGGATTATACACAGAGGAAACAGGAGGGAAGAAAAAAAATCAAGCCATAATACATGTATGCGTCTGGTGGGATTTCGCAGAAACGGAGGCTGAGATTGAGAGAACAACAATGGGCAGAGAGGATCTGGAGGAGACTCAACAGGGATTCACGGCCCAACATATATACGCACAGAAAGGAGGACTCATACAGAAAACAGCAGAGGTTGTTAGGCAACCATGGAGGCTGCCGATTCACGAAGAGGGGGTAGCTGCTGATCGAACATGTCTGCTTGGTGCATAGATTTAAGAACTCACAAGTACAGATATGTTGATGTTGGGTTACACAGAAAGAGAGGATCGGGCTCTTATATATTGTACACATTAAAGGAGATTGAAAGCATCAAAGTCTGTACATACACTGATCAAAATACAGGAATACATTCTTAACTTCCTGATTGTTTTGCAATCAAGGTTCACAGTGAGACATGTTACTTGTGATTAGTGATGGCCAAAATCCGGTCCCGGGCCGGTCCTTAACCTGTCCCTACCGGGCCCAACCAAGCCAAAAACCGGCGGTAACCGGTCCCGCCATAACCGGTCCCGGTTCCGGTGAAATATGTTGTGACCGGTCAAGCTCAACGGCAACCGGTTAAGCAATTCGGTCCCAGCCGGTCTAATTCAAAAAATATATTTTTTTAACCTTTTTGGTTATTAATATGTTATTTTTAATATTTTTGTTATAAATACGTTTTGTTATATATACGTTTTATTATAAATACGTTTAAAAATACACTTTAAAAATACATTTTATTATGATTAAAATTACATTGTTTAAAAAAAAATTAAAACTATAAAATTATTTGAAAATACATTTATTTATCAATCTTCATCGGTATCCCATGTCGGATTGACTTGAAGAGTTTCGGTCTCTTGAATTCTTCTAATAGCCTCTTGGTCTTCAAGGTCATCAATGTCGAGTTCCTCATCATCGTCACATTGGGAGTAAGTGCTCTCGGTATCGGTAGTTGGTAGCATGCTTAGTCCCATGGAGATTTCATTTTCTTCCAGATTTTCAATCTCCATCTCTAACGATGTCGTGTGTTGAATCCAATCAATGCTATCCAAATAATTCTTCAAGCACATGCAACACTCCATGGACTCCGGGCTTAGTCTTGTCCGACGTATCGAAATGATCCTGTCACTAAGAGAAAAAGCAAACTCCGAAGCTACGGTACTAGCT